GTTCTGTATATCACCCATCACTATTTTTCACATATTTCTTGCATCATACCACAGCTAAAGAGGTTAAATGAAATGATTTCTTATCTAATTTAATTTGTTTCATCAAATCATATTCAAAGTTGCAATCGCTTGCAGCTTATAACATTTTTATATACATTACCTTGACCCGCTGGCATAACTCCACATCCTAACACTTTAGTTGTGATTAGCAGAGTAACCAGAAGGAGATCGATCAGATTTCTCGCCATTGTCTATGGCTATTCACTCTAGCTCCTAAAAAACCAGACAAATGTCGAATACGCAACTGGAAATAGAAATTTTTCTCCAATAGTCAGTGTTGGTAAACGATACTCAGAACATGTGGCCTCAGGCGTGAGCTGAAAACCCTCGCTTCACTCATGCTGGGAACGTCTGCCGCCATCACACCGCCTCGAGCATCAATCTGCCACCACTCTTTCTTCGATAAAATGAATAACTGCTGACTTGACTAGGGTTTGAGTCACAGTAGAGCATATTCTCGGTTTGGATGAAACGCGGGGCTCAACTCCCACCTGAGCTCGCATGTTACAGGTATAATTCTGCATCTACATGTAATATTAAGGTCATGAAACTGCTGTAAGAGCGATAAAATAATAAATTCTTATAGAGCTTATGTTTTTTCAACATTTTAGAAGTCTGCAACGCACTGAATCTATTGAAAGATTTTTCGGAGTGGCTTCTATGACAGATTCTACTATGCGAAAGCACCTAGAAATCACTTTGACGAAGAGAATTATATGTGAAGCTAAATGAGAGCGAAGATTGCGGAAGAAATTGTACAAAAAAGTTTTGTTTAGTGCTTTGTCACGGCTTGTATTCTGTTCCCATCACCTCATTTCTGTTGCAGAGGCATAAAATGGTGACTTTATCAAAATAAAAGAAGTAATAATCAACGAAAGGATGCCGCAAAATGTACTTCAGAAAGAATAATTGTTGAAGGAGGTTTAGGTTGAAAAAATTGTAGCTCGACTTTCGAAGGGAAATGTTGGTGGTGAAAAATTTCTGATAAACAACAGTCCCATCCCTCGAGTTTTGAGTTTCCGGTCAAGTTCACTGGTATGGCGCGATTATGATTTCTCCTTTGTTGATAGTGGCGGCTACTAATAGCTATAAGAGAATTTCTGCTGAATTGCACTGAAATTTTAGAAACAGGCGGTGGACAGTACCCCTCTATTAATTCACTATCATGAGAAATGGAAATCGGTAATTCAAAAGCAAAAAAAAAGGAACTAAACCAACTCGTTAAGTTTTGTCGTATGGCAAAGAATACCAATTTTTGCAGATGATAGCAGTGTATTCAGACGAGAAACGAAATTGTTTAAAGGCGCAATCAAACTAACTCTGAGCTGAGGCTTCCTTAACACTTTGAAATTTGACATAGGTTGACCTTCATGGAATACCACCAGTTCCTCTCTATTTCTCCTTTATGTGCAGACAGAACGAAGGTCTTCGTTACAATTTGCAGAGTTAATCCCATTCTTTTGTGACGTTATATACTATCAGATGATATGGTGTGGTGATAATGTAATGTTGCAATGAGATACATGATTTTGTTGACGATATATGTTGAAGAAGAGTTAAGGATATGCTCCAAAAATTAGAATTTCACCCTCATTCCAACCAAAGATCAAATCAAACAGACATGTCTGAGGAAAGCAGTCATTACTTTATAGGGATTTCTTTAAATTCGCTGCACACGGCATTGTCTCCTGAACTGTATTTTTCAATTTTTGTAATGCTATTAATCCACAAAGCTGATTTTCTTCTAATCTAGTCATTAATCAGGAGTATTTTACTGATCTTTTAGTGAGTGTAATAAAGTTGCTAAAAGAACGTTTGTCTTGTCCTGACTACGGTTTTGGCAATTTCCGCGCTCACTGAAGTCACTATGAGTCAGGATAATTACAGTTTACTCGGATAGATATCTTCACCACCTCAACCCTTTTGGGACCACCAGTTGTAATAGCCATACTCAGTGCAATTCGCAGCCCCAATGCGCGACTTTTGGTATTTGATTAGAGTTTCTTCATCGTTTTGGGTGAAAGTTTGGGGTTTCATGCAATATTTCGATATCTTAAGATTTCTCTGTACACTCTTATGCTTTTAGTGCAAATATAACGTTTATATTTCAAAGAGAAGCGCTCTTTCACTACGCACAGTGATGTTGGCATTCTGTCAACCACAATAAGTTGTACAAGTAATAAAGTTATATAAATTGATCGGTTTTGATATAATTCGTCATAAACAACGCTTAAGAATTATAATAGTGACTGAATTGGAAAACAATGAATAGTATGTCAAAAAAGCTGCTGCGCAATGCATGTGATGTCAGATCATCGATATTCTTATCATAACCAAGTTATTATATCAAGGATTCGTTCATTTCTAATAATTTATATGATGATGCACACAAGAAAGACGGAGACTTTCGGATTACAAGAGATTTCTGTGCAAGAAGGACGTATAACACGATCCCATATGCGGATGCAGGCACAAGTCCCAAGCGCGCAAGACGAATTGCAGACAGTATTGTGATAGACCTCATGGAAGGCTTGCTAAATGAAGACAGACACCTCTACACGGACAATTGGTACACTAGTGTTGGATTTGACGAGACTCTGTTTCGGAGAAAAACGCACTTGATTAAGGCGTGCAGAAACAATAGGGATTTACCTAGGGAATTCATACAGTACCCACTAGAGAAAAGGTAGGCATTGGCTATACAGAATAAGAAAGGAGTGGTGGTGATCAGACGAAATGACAAAAGAGTTGTAGTGATAATTTTTACAGCAAACAGTCTCACCATCAATCCAAAGAGGGGAAATTTCAGGTCGTGCAGAGCTAGAAGGAACACAAGTTGCTCGTGGATTTCACAGACCAAATGGCTGCTTATTACACATATAATGGAAAGACGTGTAAATGGCGAGTGCATTTTGCTGCGAATCTAATTTAACAGTTCAGGTACATCAGCCTGTTCTTCCACCTGGTGACGCATATATGCCTGATGAGAGCGTGGAACAAAGAGTGCCTGAAGAAAATTTCGTTCACCGATTTCAAGATGGATGTTGGCCTCAAATACTGACAACATCATGTAGCTCCACAGGCGATACCCACACGTATTCTCGAAGTCACTTTGCCACGTCGTGGACGTTGTATTGGATGTTTTAGAAAATTGGTAATACGTGTGAATACCGCTTATGCATAAAACAAAGCTAAAAGAGAAAGCACGAGGTGCAGTCGATGGAAACAATACAATTGTTTACCTTGTTTCAATACTTCTCATTGGAGATGTGTTGCTAGTCGATTTGGCGTACGACAGGCGTTATAATTTAGGTTGAAAAATCATGTCGTATAATACTGGAGATATTTATGAACCGAAAAGAAAGGGTTATTTTAGAATTTAATGCTTGTTGTTATGAATTAATTATTACTGAATAAATATATTAAATAAAGACAAATAACATCAGCGTAAGATTGGGAAAATTCGAGTAAGGAGTATGCAATTTCTCCAGAGAAATGCTCCACAAATTGGTGACTAGAAAAACTATTATAGAAAACTTCCAGTAAAATATCATTCTTTCTGATCATGAATTGCTTCTAGGGTACGAATTTCACTATACAGTCACCGAAACACCCACTGCGAAGTTTAAGAGACTAGATTTTTATCCTGAGCGTGAAATCCAATTTCAATTCCCTTGCTTCAGGGCACTAAGAATCAGTTCAAAAAAACCAAAATAGCTTTCAAAATTAACACTTTTATCGAACGATTATCAAAACTTTATGCAAGGCCAGGCAGGCAAAAACGATAGCGAAGCACACTCCGGAAAGCGAAACCCAGCTTTTGCTCATCGTTTTTACAGCCCTTAAAAAAACCTATATTTGCTATCCAATTCAAAAAATAAGTATACATTTGGAATCATCTTATTTCAAGCTATCAAAAGTTACTGAAACCTTGGTGAAAGACCTTTGCTCTGTGAAAAGACCATGTGAACAGGAGTGCAAATCACACAGCACACTACGAAGGGAAAAACGCGATCTTCTCTTCGTTGCTACAGCTCGCTAAATAAACATTTCCAAAAGCCAAAAGCACCATCAGAACCGCAATTTTTCCAGCTATCGAACGGTTGTTTGAAGTCTAAAGAGAAATTTATAGTTGATGAGAAAATCACAAAAACTCATGTGTACCGTGAGTGCGACATGCGACCCCCTAAAAACTTGATATGAAAAGCCGAAGGAGCTGCCGCATTAGCTGTGAGCGTTTCATTGATAGTTTCTTATCAGATATCTGTTTTCTTGAATAAATTTGCGCATTTATTACAAGTTTCGTGGGGCTTGATCGATTTTCTAAGGTCCTTTTTACTGTGATCAATTATCTGCCATTCAAGATGTTTCATCAAATGACCCAAAATACGTAGATAAAAAGTCATTATGACCTTGTGGGGCAAATTAATTTTTTGGATTTTTTCGTCTACTAATCTCGTTCTTCTTTTCTTAAAACTTTTGTGAGCTATCGTGTCCGATATTTTCTTCACTCATGGATAACAATGCGACACGAAAACGAATCACTTCCTACTTTTTGGAGAAGCTCCTAATGTGCTGCTTTCTGAAGGCAGTTTTGCTGTCACTTCCCTTTGCAACTCTCAGCTATCAAGGTTTTTCATTGCATCACTCAGCTATCAAAGCTTTTCAACGCCTTCAAATAATAGTTGTTCCATGGTCAGAGCCGAGTCTCGTTTCAGCGTCATTTACTTAGATAAGCTGCTCTGGCTATCAACTTCAGTAGGTCGCCATTATCTACTAATAGTCAAAATGACCTCCTTTGGAAAGGAAAGCTTTCAGTTTCAAGTTGTTTGAGCTCATAGACAAAGCTCTAGGAGAAATGAGTGGTGAGCAAAAACAAGGCCTCAGGCGGAAATCGAATCCATGTTTCATCCATACCGGGGAGTGGTGGGCGCGAATGTGCCCTAGTGGTGTAAGGGCATCAGCATGCGTCCCCGGTATGGATGAAACGTGGGTTCCACTCCCGCCTGAGGCCGTATTTCTGCTCACCATTAAATTCTCTTAAGTGTATATGTGACATCACGACATTCGCAGGCCAAGCTCTAGCAATTTTATCTATTTCAGCCTATGTTTTAATTGGTCTCAAATCAATGCAAACTGCTGCCTTTTCTTTGTTTGAAACTTACACGAGGTTGGTACTTTTTTTCTTTTCCTCAAAACTCGATGGCTAGCGTTTCAGCTACAACGCCGTCGTCAAAGCCTAGGCTAGGCGCATGTATCATACTATATCTAATTACTCAGTTAATATATCGCATGCATCAAAAACTCAATAGAAACTAAATCAACAATCTAGTCACTTTGAAAAATCCCATCTTATTCAGTTTTATGAGGGTGATCACCGGTCTGGTGTATTACAATTTGTATAAACCACGTTCAGACTAGAACATGAATCTAAGATAAGGTGTCATATAACTTGTTATGTTTCGACATTCCCCCTTCTATTCATTTCTGGTCTTTTACGGCTTATCCAAAAAGCTTTTAGGTTTTCAGCTGATGTTTTTGATTCTTGCCCCGGAATTTCACTACCACATCAAAGTTCGTATGGGAAAAATCAGCGCATCATCGAACATCACCGCGAAAAAACCGTTGAGGCTTTTGGATAGACCGTAAAAGACTAGAAATGAGTAGGAGGAGAGAATGTCAAAACATAACAAGTTATATGACACCTTATCTTAGATTCATGTTCGAGTCTGAACGTGGTTCATTTTACAAATTGAGTCACACTAGTCCGGTGACCACTCTCATAAAAATAGGTAAGATGAGGTTTTCAAAACGACTAGACTGTTGATTTGTTTTCTATCAGATTTTTGATGCATGCGATTCTAACAGAGCGATCAGATATGGTATGATATATACGTCTAGGCTCTGACGAAGACGGTGCCACTGAAACGTTAGCTATCGAGATTTGAAGAAAACAAAGAATTTACTAACTTCGTACAAGTCTTGAATAAGGAAAAGGATAGTTCGTGAGAATTTTTGCATTCCTTCAATCATGCCGAGGTTTAGAGATAGTCGGACTTTCGAACTATGAAAACGACGTTTAAAGAAAGCTAATTTCTATAAAGTATTGTGCAAAAACAAGCGCGTAATTACGAGCTTCGACAGTGTATGCACCAGATATTCATTTCATATTCATTAACTATTTCCAAACGCAGGACGGCTGTTATTTCAGCAATGAACCTAATTATCTGAAAAAATATTGTAGAGTGCAAAAACTAGCCATCAGCGACCTGGGTCTATAACATTAGGTATTCGTCTGTTTTCAGCATTTTCACTGGTGGCTGGTAGATGAAATCCTTCAGTAACCCAGATATTTGAATTAGGCTTAATGATTCCCCACCTGCAACACAAAAAATAACGTTGCGCTACTAGCTTCAGATGAAAAGCTAAATATTTCTTCTAACAAATATGCACGTAAGCAAACCTATCGTACAGCTTTCGACAACTGTGAAGATCTTAATGAATTTCACAGCGCAATGAAAATTGAGGACGGTGACCTAGCGCTTAATGATGCACGTTGTCGTGATCCAATGTGCTGGCCCGACCCCATCCCAGCTCCTGTCCTACAATCAGTTAGGAGCACCATACATGACTACTATCTTGACGACAGCAACGAGATCTACCAGACCAGTGTTCTACGACATTTACGAAGAAGTCTAAATTCTGAATCAGTAGTCGAAACAAAGCACAAAATGTCCAAAGACCTGCGTGGAAAGCGAATCTGTGGATTAAAAATGGGTCGTCTGAAAAAGAGAGTCCCATCACGTAACTTCGTGTTAAAACCTACTCTGGCACAGTCGCATGGCAGATTGGAAACATGGGCAGCGTTGTTAAGTCATCAGGCATTATATTAAAATTTTACGGCGTTAAAGAACGCCGAATAACTAGCTCCGTCTTATTCTAATGATACTGCTAAGCGAGAAGAAACTTCAACACAGGATGCTCACGTATACCATATGCTGCTATAAACAGGGAATCTTATTCACTAAGGAAAAAAACGCTATATTTGCGAACTTTTTCACATGAACTGTGCTGTAACTGCTAAATCTTGAAGACGCCGTAGCACCATAGCACTCAAGTGACAATTTCAAAGAGTCGTTGTGACAATGCACAGCTTTTGTTGCTGGTATAGGTAACACTTTTGTGATAACTTGTACCATTTCTTCAGTAAGCTCAGCTATTACACAATTTTCCAACTAGTGTAGCTTCTCAGCAGCAAAATGAAGATGAACAACATGTTTTGAGTGAATTTTACTTGAGAAATGTTCAGTTGATGAATGCTACCTCTGATAACTTTCTGCAGCAAGTACCAATTATCCACAGTAATTTGCTTTGATCTAAGTATTAAGGGAGAAGTACGATGGGAAGCATTATTGAGATGGTGAAAGATGGTAATTTTGCGGTCAAAGAACCCCTCCCTGCGTTTAAGTTATAGATTCATGAAATATCAATAATATTTGCGCGATAAATTTACCACTTCTCCAGACGTTCTGCTCCTATTGGACATTTAGACAGCTTCCTCGATTTACCGCTATTTTTCAAAGTTGTGTTGACAGAGATAAATAGTTAATGTACACTTCGTATAATAAGTTTCCATTGGATTCGTCTAATTTCAGGTGGTTATTGTGATTTATTGGGACAGTACTTAAGGCAATTTGAAATTTTTCATCAATCTAAAACATCGCTTCAGAGCAGATGTTGCTCAATTCAACCAAAAAAATAACTGCGCGAAAGTACGAGGACTACGCTTCGGCTAGGCGACGACAGTAAAACTCCTCCTTTGTTCAAAACTTTGAAGGTGTTATTTCTAATTCACCTTAGTCAAATGCGAAAATTTTTTTAGATATTTCTAATGTCGCTATGCAATTTGCTCTCAGTGGCGATCGACATAGCGGAAGTAGAAGAGTTTACTCAACATCAATTCGTTGACGTCAATGTCTTACTGGAAAATAATAAAATTTGTTTTTTCACTTCCGCTGATGACTAATCGAAAAGTCATCGGCGCTGTAGAATTGCTGTGCCTGTTAGAAGTTTTTTATGAACGATAAAGAAAGCTGAATAAGCATTTCCTGGTTCTAGAAATTAGTTGTTGTGGCACTTTCGCGTTGTTTTATCTGCATTACTGAATGATTTGAACTTTCACCGCAACATTTTATTTGCACTTCAACAGTGACATTGTACAATATCAGTGAATTCGGCCAATACATGAAACATGCCGTTCTTAGTGAGTTTGTAGCTAAGAATCGTACGAGTGCTTAAACTCTCTTCAACAGCGGTTTATGTGCTCATCTGAAAGGAAACAGGATCTACGAAAGACACTACACTGTTTGAATCGTGATGAAAATTTTCTGAGCACAGGTCTTTTGCACCTTCTTGGTTTATTGAGGTGCACAACAATTCTTATGAATTAACATAAACATAGATGACATAAGCGAACTTTCAATGAGAATCGCTACTCATGAAGTTGTAAGAGAATGAAGTCCAGATTTATCATCAGATACATTCGTAATGACGTCAGAAGCTGTGGAGATTTGATAAAGTAATCACAGCGCTCGTCAAGATTTCATTCATAGCATAGCATCATTACATCGTTTTTCTATCAGCTTCATGTTAGCTCATCAATGAAATAATGTTCTCTTAAAAACTGATTTGTCATTCAGAATAACTCCATTTAGTGGCTAATGCAGCTGCTGCTGCTAATACTAGAAAAACTAACATTAGAAGCAGTGAACGATAATCACCTGTATCCGCTGTTGCATCGCTGATTGTAGAGTGCCTCGAGCAGACACAGTTTTGCTTCTATTTTCCTCCACCACGTGCGAAAGTGGCGATGTCCTACTGGCTATAGGAGATTGTTGAGTATTATTTCTTCTAAGATGTTTATGAAGAAATGGGACCATCAAATAGCTAATATATGTTTGGTGCGCTTGACATCTCGAGAAACCCAGTTGGTAGAGGCGTTAATCTTAGATTGTCGCTGAGATATTGAACGTGTCCGGTTTACTTCACTTTCAATAGCCTGGCATAGAACGAGACCTTTGTTTTTGATAAGTGGCCTTTCATCGTGCTTATGTGAAGATCACATTGCTGAATGGTTCAAGGCAGAAATAATCTATGATTCGAGATGGTGGACATGGAATCATGTGCTGCTTGCTCTCATCACTACATCCTCAATGCTGTTAAACGCTTCCTAGCTTGCTTGCTGCTCAGCTCTGTAGCTGGGTCGTTCATCATACTGACTTATCAACCTAGATGGACATAACCAGAACGGATGGATAATCACCCCGTTTAGGTGAATAAGGTATTCAAAGTAGTTTTTGTTAGATTCATTTAGACATCAAATTTCCCACATGCATTGACGAATAAAGCTAGCATTCATTCCGCTCACAATGTTTATGGACTCGTAGGAACGATAATATCAACAAGGCTGTGAGACGACCAGTGGGAGGCCACAAAATCAAGGGATACACAGGACGTCTTTGAAAAAGGATCTGTTAAACATTCAAGCGATACGCCATGGAGACTGTTTCTTACTCTACACGTGTAATGAATGACTCTTCATTGACGCCAAACTTCACGCAATTCTTAAAGGAGGAAGCTGCATATAATTTCATGTGGTTGGTATACATGAAACGAAAATCAGAATGACCGACATATGTCAACTTGACAGCGAGACGCTAGTAATCCGGGGAAAAAAGGTTTTGTCACAAAATGCCGGTGGCGTAGGCTTTTTCGTTCATCAGTCCATTATCCATCTCGTCGACTCAATGAATATTCATTCTACTCCTTTAACCATCCTTCGACTTCACCTAAAGCGCAACAGAAACATCAGTATCATCAACTGTTACGTATTGACCAATTAAACTGATGAACACGAATTGGATGCGATATATTATCAGTTAAAAAAAAGTTATCCGCAGTGATAGATCCTATTACAAATTTATTGTAAGAGATTTCAGTGCCAGATTAGGGGAG